CCTTTCCTGTTCCGGCTCCTTGGGACGGCACGGCTGGAGAGGCCTGAAGAGTATGAAGAAACAGAAGCACAGCTTGCGACCAGCTTGGCTCAGGTAACAGCCGGTAACATTGGAAGAAGCCGTTAGTGCAGTGGGCAGGCGTCTTGGGGGTTACCTCAAGTACCCTCCACCTAATCTTTTCCCCTGCAGTCCAAACGGTTGTAACCACCCGCTTTTTGCGTCCACTTTCCACCCCCATGCCTTCCGGCCCTCAGCAGCCGAGGCGGGCGGCGTAGCGTTAAAATTATAAACGCCACACGATTGAGGAATCCTCCACTACGCGCTCAAACCTCGACTGTTCAAACCCAGACTCCGGTCTCGTATGCAGCAGGCGAGCTCCTGACACCAAGCTTTTTTGGAGGGGGAGGGGGAGTGTTAGCCTGCGTGAAGGATTCCTATAACAAGGGCTCCCTAACTCCTATAAGGGCTCCACAAGGAATTGCATAGGGTGAGGAAGGAGCGGGGCAAGGGGTATTCACACCAAAAACACGTGGGTGTCAGGCTCGGGTTTGGAAGCTTGGGTTTAAGGTGTTTGATACAAGGTTTCGAACTCTTGGTTTGGGGTTTCGAATTCACGGTTTGGAAGATCAGAGTGTGAGAAGGTTTGTGTTCTAGGAAGAGGCGACTCTGCTGGACGTAAGCAGCCCATGTTTCTCCTGTTGCTTCCCGCATTAATTAGAGGTGTTGGCACGCTACTGCTTTCTATTCTGTAGTTATAACACAAACTTGCGGCAATCAGAACCCCGTGAACCTAAGCCATATATAACGCATAAACGCTACATAGAGATAGATCTGAGGACACCTGGGGCTTCTGGCTCCAGTAAGAGGAAGCTATGGGAAAGAATGTCAAGAATAATTCCTTATGGAGCATTCGGGGCGTGAAAGAACCAACTTCGCAGGCACATAGAAACAAGCAGCACTGCAGGAAGCGCTGTGCCGTCATCTCAAACATGCGATAAAGTAACATGGCTCGCCCTCAACACGCCTGCAACGTCCTTGGTCTACATGGCAGCATCTGGGAATCTAGCCAGAAAGTTGCAAGGGCTAGACATGTTCCACCTGACCATCATGTGGAGCGACGGCAAAAGCTGAGCAACTACAAAGCTGGCTTTCCGTACCGTTTCGACTGTTATGTAGTTCATTGTCGAGCCTCGCAGGACATGGACATGACCTACAAGCCTGCGAACAAAGGCTCGGCAGTTGAACACTCCTCGACACCCATTTCTTCACATGGCAGCAGCACGTCGAAGCGCCCAGAGCTGCCATCGCCGGACCATGCAACATGAATAGTTCGCGCCATAGATAACACAGTCACACTGATATCCTTGGGAGTCTCGAAGCGTCAAACTCGAGATTCGATCGAGCTTGAACTTGACTAGGCCGCCGGGTGCTCTACGGAGCGATTCTTATCTCTCGCAGTGGGGCAAGCCCGACTTGCGGGATGCTGGGGCTTCAGTAGAATTAGGCAAGGTAGGTTTTGGATGCAGGCTTTAGGGTTCAAGGTTTAGGGCTTAGGCTTTACTACTAGCTTTGCTACGACCTGCGCTGAGGACCCGAAAGGCTCCGTTGTTTCCCCACCCTGCCAAGTTGTCAGAGACCGATGCCCCCTGGTGCCCTCAGAAACAAAATAAGGATATAGTATAGTACAGTAATTATAGTCTAGTGAGAGTCTAGTGTAGTATAGTATAGTATGGTATGACGTAGTATAGTATAGTATAGTACAGTATAGTATAGCATGGTATAGTATAGTAGATTATGGTATAGTATAGTAGAGTATAGTAGAGTAGAGTAGACTAGAGTTGTGCAAAAAAAGGACGATTAGGGAATTGCCTGGCGAATTATTCTTGCCCCACAGGCTCTAGAATTTCGCTGGCAGCTTAGGGCTGAGGCCTGAGGGCCTCCCGTCTCAATATGCAACCAGTGCCTTGTTAGCGGTAGTAGAGTCTAGTATGGTATGATATAGCAGGGTATGATATAGTATAGTGTAGTGTTTGAAAAAGGACGACTAGGGAACAACCTTGCGAAGTATTATTATTAGCCATATTTCAAGTGATCATCATTTGCCACCTAGCTGCCTGAGACTGAAACTCAAACCCTAAACTCTCTAAACCCTCGAGCCCTACACCCCCAACTCAACAGCCTCACCCGCAAACCCCTGGACACCCTAAGTCCTGAACTTCTGACCCCGAAACCCGACCCTTTTTTTAAGCATCCCCAGAGCTTGCAGAGCTCCGAAGGTTCAGAAGGGCAATAACCCTAAATCCTAAGCCCTAAACCCGATAAACCATAAACCCGAACTTGCTTCAAGACAGGGCCTTCCTTGCATCTTGCAAGATCCGATAACTCAGAGCCTGAACCCTACACCCTGGACCCGTTTGGGTTTGGGGTTTAGGGTTAAAGGGCGCGCGCGCGCGCGCGCGCGATTTAGAGGACAAGTGAAGACTGCCTTATTGTGGCCGAAGCACGAAATCACAACCCACACAACCCCTCCTTGAGAGCCGGACTTTGTGCCTGCAGCGAGGGATCCTCTGCGCTGTTGACACGGAGCCCACCGATGACCTCCCGCGCCACTGATGGGGTTCAGGCTTGAGGGTTTTGGGGTTTCTGGGATCCTCCTACTTTTGACGCGGTGTCTAGACCTTATCGTCGAAGCTATGTAACATAAGGGCCTGAATAATTAGAACGGAATTTCGGGGAGTAAGACTATAAGTATAATAAGAACCCCCCAAAATAGTTCAGGTTATTATTATTAAGGCCTAACAGCTGTGACCGGGCCGTCTGGAAGAAGAGCACTAGCACCAGGAAGCGGAATCACGACACTCAGCGACAGGTGTCCAGCAGTTCTTACAGGAGTCCAGGAGACTGACAGAGATGTGCAGCAACCCAAATCTTATCAAACCCTAAACTCTAAACCCTAAAAAAATTCTCTAAACCAGAAAACGAGGGAAAGAGGACGAAACACATCCTCGCATGGCGGTCTTCGCGGTCGTCGGCCACGTGTCCCCCGAGGTGACTTCGTCAGCAATATCACCATAAACATCAGCACGATCCTATCATCATTGTCAACGATCTTGCTGGTGAAAGCTTTCTGAATACGGCCATGACAACGAGTTCGCTCTTGGTGTTGCTCCTGTCGCTGCTGTTGTCTTTTCCTTTCATGCTGTAATGGGTTGTCAGTCTTGTTGGCGTTGTCGTGCATGTGCATGCTATGGCTATGGTAGTCGCTGTTGTCGGTAGAATGTCTTCTTGTATATCTGTTGCACACGATACCCGGGAATAATAACCGCATCTGTCATGGTGAACATCGACGGCTTACAGTTATCAAGACGACTCCGGGCAAAGTTGACAATGTTCACCTTTCCAACTCAACCATTGGTCAGAGCGCCCATCCCCAAACATTGTAAACTCCATGAGTGCCTCCGATACGCACTTGCCCAAACCGCAGTCATGATGCTGAAGCAGCTGCTGGCGCTGCTGCTGATCGTGATGATGATGATGACGATGATGATGTAGCTGATGGTCTCCCACCACGTACATGCTGCGGATGCCTTTCGTTGCTACATCGTCTTGTCTGCTTCCGGCTACTTACTGGTCTTATTATAGGTCTAGCTTATGGATCTGGGAGACCCGCGCAAAACCCTCTGCAACATCGTGGCAAACTTCACATATGCAAAGCATGAAAGTGCGGACAATACACGGGTTTTCGCCATTGACGGAATACTACTCCGGGCACCGGGGAAGAAATAATCACTTTCGACAAAGAAGGGTGCAATATGGCAAAACAGCCGTATTTTGCTTCCAAACAGGCTTTGGATCATACAGGTTGTGAACATTAAACGACTGTTCTACTGTACACATCATGGCTATCGCTGCACGCAGCCAATGCCAGGGCATGACCGGTCTGTTACTGTTGCTGTCGTTGGTGTTTGCGGTGGTGATTGTTGCTGCTGGCGATGTCGTTTAGCTGTCGGCCAAAATTGTCTTGCTGTTCCTCTTGCTGTCGTCGTTGTTGTTGTTGTTGTGGTTGCTGTTGTTGGTGTTGTTGTTGCTGCTGGTGCTGCCGTTGCTGTTGCTGCTGCTGATGCTGCTGCTGCTGCTGCTACTGCTGCTGCTGCTGCTGCTGCTGCTGTTGCTGTTGCTGTTGCTGTTGTTGGTGGTCATGATGGTGGCGGTGGTGGTGGTAGTGGTGCGGTCGTTGGCTTGGTCGTTGTTGTTGGGGTTGTTGTTGTTGTTGTTGCTGGTGGTGGTGGCGGTGCTGGTGGTGGTGGCAGAGTTGGTTGCGGTGTTGTTGTTGCTGCTGGTGTAGGCCCCCAAACCAGTAGGATCCTGATTTATAAGTATAGAATACGGCACTCTTAGTTGTCTGAAACCCGATATGTCAACAAATAGACATGCCTGCACGCCTGTATCCAGCTGCCTCAGGCAAACCGCAGTAGAAAAACACCAAAGTCTGCAGCCCTGGTAAAGAAGAGTGCAGCGCTTCAAACCATACACCCCTTCAGAAACACAAACAAGCTGCTCTACATCTAGTCTTGCGCAAGCAAAGGCTCACCTCCACGAGCCATTTCGGAAGCGACATGGAGGCCCTTCGCAGGGCTTTCAGCTCTTTCGGATCATCCTGTCGGTGGAGGTTTGGAGGTTTAAGGTTGTCAGCAGAACTCCCAGAAACCAGAGCACGAAAAAGGGCGCCCATCTTTTCATCACAGTGAGAAACCCTCTGCAAGGTAAGATATGTTCCACAAGCGAGGTGTTGAAGTCTCGGGGGCTTAGATTTTTGGTCGCTTCGGGACCTGGGCTTCGGGCTTTATGTATCAACGATTATAAGGGCTTTTGCGTTGGAGTCTCAATGCTTCAGGTGTAGGTTCCGGTTTTGGGGCTAAACGTTTGCTCACGCAACGATCCCCGGAAGAGAGAGGCCCAGAGTGGGGCCTTTTCCTGCGATTGCCTAGGCATAACTTTAAAGTTGCTCGCTAAACACCTAAATATGGTTTCTCGTAGTTATCTGTTGGTGATCCATTTTTGCGGTTCCTATGCTCTGAAATCCCAACATGAAGCTGAAACTGTAAACCAGAAAACTCATTTGTTTTTATAAAACCCTGAACCCTAAACTCTATAATAACTACAAAGACAGATGCCGAAACCAAGCCGCTTCCACAAACACCGGGGTCGCAGCAAGAGCTCTGTACGCAATAGGGAACCGGTCTGCAGTCGGATGTGAACCCAACGCAGGTTCCTGTAATCATAACGAAGACAAACGATGCAACGTCTGCAAGTTATGATAAGTCTTGTAGCATTGCTCGAAACCCAGCGGAAAAGGCAGAGTCCCGCAACTGAACACCGAACTATTGCGGACAGCCACTGAAATAGAAACGGCATATTTTAGAAAAACTCTGACTTCTAATTACATGTAGTAGGAATAACAGGGCAAGAGTAACAGGATAAGCAAAAGTAAGAGTAGTACTAGTAATACTAGAGATAATCATAACGAAAACCGTAATACTAATAACATAGACCATCTTCCAGCCTGTCGGTGCAAACCCGAACGCTGTGTTCATCGCAAGTTAGCGTCGAAATCGCCCCTCCCTGGATGCTCAAAACTGTCTTCATTGAACTTGCTTCGGACCCAAAACCCTAAACCTGAAAGCCCCCTGGTTTCTCGTTAGGGGGTTTAGGGGTTTAGGGTTTAGGGTAGCCCCACACCCCTAAGCTATCAGACCGGTCGATCTCAACTCACAGGGCAGCGCAAGGCCTGCACACGCTTCACGAGTGAAGGCCTGACGTTTGGGGGTGGGGATTTAGGGTTTATAGGGTTTAAAGTTTAGGATTTCGTTTTGGATTGGGCTTTTTCGGTTTACGGCTTTGGGACTTGAGCGGTTTTGGGGTGAGCATCGGCAACACGAGAGAAGTCAGCATCTTCGCCTGTAAACGTCGTCGTAGTCGTAGTCGCCGTAGTAGTAGTGGCAGTAGTCGTCGTCGTCGTCGTGGTGGTGGTACTCGTCGACGTTGTCATAGGGGTGGCAGTGGTAGCAGCAGCATTAGCAGTAGTCGTCGTCGTGGTAGTAGTCGTACAGTGGTACTCATTTGTTGTAGAAGCAGCAGCAGCAACAACAGCGGCAGCAGCAGGGGGAGGGGAGGACCAGTGGTGCCGGTAGTGGTCGTGCAATTATTATCTACTCGGACTCTCTCTTGCATTGGAAACATGAGATAGGGGTTATGGAGAAT